AAAAGGCTTGTTTTAGGGGAAATGGGATCTTTTTCATTCTCAGGCATTTTTAAAGAATATTTTCTCTCTTTATTTTGACTATGCTTTCTTTTATGAAAATCCGATGATTGGTTTGAATTTCCCCGATAATTAGGTGGTCTGTCAATGACAGATCACCTATTGATTTCGTTAGAATTTTCTTTATTCTTTATTTATTTTTATTTCTTCCGTACACTTTTTTGTACGCACGTTTACTCGAAATCGACATAGTCAATTTCCTTTGAATTTCTGTCAGTCATCAAGCCCTATGATTTCAAGTCAAATCAACTTTTTCAAAGTCACTAGGTCATCGTGACGTCATCCAGGCGCCATTTTGTAAAAATCAGGTCATTATCATATCTCGATAACGAGTCATCAAAAATAAACCATATTTGGTATACATCAACTTCAGGTCAAAGGTCAACTAAAAATGCCAACAATTTCTGCGCGCGCACCTCGACGCGCACGTACGCGCGCATTAAAATGTTAAAATGCTCAAATTCGTTCCAAATTAATTTTACATACGTTTCAGGCCATTTTAAGCATTTTGCAAAAAAACGCGCACACGCACATGCGCGCGCGTTTTCGCGCGTACTTGCATTTTGCAACGTAGAATCACCAGATTTTCTCTGTCATCATATTTGGCACATTTTTTCAAGCATTTTGATACCATTTTCACTTTTTTCTGACCATTAATAACGGAATGAGCGCCCGTTAAGATACGCATCCGTGCGTGCGAGCTCTTGTAATACATTACATACATGTGCAAAAACATGCCTATTCAAAATTCATTGTAACTCTTCAGGATGGATAGATACCCCCCAATTTCTTTCATATTTAAATAGATTATGAGTTGGAGATATGATTTGATGTCTCATTTGACCCTCAATTAACTCATGACGTCATCATCATGGCCTCCGAACTCAAAATTTCAATTTGCGTATTATGACGTCAGCAGATTTTTAGAAAAATTGATTGTATCTCTGTAAATATTGATCAATTTTCTTTCAAATTTTGATATGGTCTACCTGAGAATATTCTCTACAAATGCAGTCGCCACGATATTTTATTTTGACAATGGTATCATGGCGTATTTTTGCGATTAAAGGAGGCATGTCAATTTTTCACATTTTGCGTGTATTCTCTATGACTTTTTCTCAAAACTGGATTCTACATTCTCGTATTTTGCGAGCAATATCTCCGTCGTTTTATCTTTGTTTACGCTGAGCTTTGAGTATGTTGTAGCTGAGACAATAAGCTATCACAAGTGTGCCCTTTATTTTTCGATCAGCTAGATGCCGGGATCATGCTCATATTTCACTTACAAACTAGGATTTGAGAATTCCATTTTCCGTTTACGTGTAATCTCTATGGGAAATGTTTTGGTATATCGGTAACGCACTTGACTTCCGACCTCGAGACCCCTGGTTCGAGTCCGGGCGTCTCCAACAATTTTCTCCTTCACTTTTTTTTGTCTATTCGACCTTTCACTGTACCGTCTCTTTTGAATATTGAATCACGTAGAATCGCAAATAATGTAATAAACAACCCTATTTACTTTATTATTACCCCATTATCACTTGATCCATTACTTTTGGCGTGTAATCCCTTAGTCCAGAATCTGGCCTATTTAATTTTGATCTCCACCACACTGACGCTACCTCTCCCTAGCTACTTACTTGCTACCAGCCGATGATGGCGTGATCATTAAATTAGGACGCCCGGCGAAAAAGGCCGGGCTGGTGAGCATTATTATGAGTTTGTTGATAACGCCATCTTCGACGGCTTGAATCAAGTGTGTAGGGAAAATAAGGACAGTGCAGATTATGGACTAGTTATCCCTATGCGAGATGACTTTTTCTCAAATCTGGATTTTACATTTCTGTCTTATGCGAGCAATTTCGCCGTTATTTATGCTTAGATTTTGTTGATTTTCGAGTATGTTGTAGCTGAGACTATATGCTATCTAAACCACCCCTCATTTTGTCATTAAGATGTCAGGATCACGCTCATGATCATCATCGTGATGGTCTGATGATTACAACATCATCATCATTATCATTATTGTCATCATCTAACATTATCATTACCATCACCTTCATCATGATCATCATTGTCTATATAACTTCTCCCTTTCTCTATATAGTAAATATTCAAATCTATTTATGCTAGTAGAGTGCCTCGATTGCATCTCTTTCTCTTTCTCCTCTCTCTTACTGTGTTCCCCTTCTCCTCTCTTGTTCTGCCCCTCTCTCTTGCTTTGTTTCTGCATCCCCCTCTCTCTCTCTCTACTCTTCACCCTCTCCCTTCACTCCTTCCTTGCCTCCCTCTTTCTCTCTTGCGATGTCTCGATCTATCTCTGCCCTTCTCTTTTGTTAAACTCTCTCACCCTCTCCCTTTTCCGCCTCTGACTCTCGTTCTCCCTCTATTATGTCAGTGTTCCCCAATCTTCTTTAATTTTTCCTTCTAACCTTTGTATTCTTGTTTCACCCCTACCATGTACTATAGAGAGAAACATGAAATGAAGTACATTAGTAAACAGGTCTATTCATTGTTAAAATCATGTTCAAAGCACTAAACAAAGCTTATCAAATCAAAGTCAAAGCTAAATTGCATAGACCTATCTACATGCATGTAAATGACATTCTGCACCAAACTTTACATCACGCTATTTCCTTGGCGATCTAAAAAAGAACCGCAATGCAATATTACAAATGGTAAGCACCTATCATCTTCAAACACATTTTAAAAGAAATAAATTTTAAAAACAGCATATCCAATTAAATTTGATATACTAAAATAAAAGCACATACTGAAAAGAGCAGCATTGTACAAATCTCTGAAAAGGGCATTTTAACATGTATATATATTTAACAGAAATGGAATACATATATAAAACAGGTACATAAACAAGATACCTACTGATTATATGAAAGGCCCCCTACATAGCAAGTGAGATATAAGCTCAGATTAACACAATAACAATAAAACTAAACACAATGTACATTATGGATAATCCCTAACAGCCCTATATACCTCTTTGTTACAGCAAGCAAGACACTGCTATGTATAGTGAATGCAGTAGATATTGACAGTTGATCGTAAGGTACCACTATATATGGGGTAAATGTTGCAAATAAACTGACATTATAATCATAATCCAATATTGACTATTCACGAAACAAACTGGATATGTGACCTCTAAAGACATAAAATTGTAGTGTACAAACATGTGCCATTGAAAATCATAATCGTGTAATATATGACAATATAACAAATTACAGTGAATTGTCTTTCGCTGTACTACTAAGATCTGTTATCCTGATGTTAAAAAGAAAACAAACAGTAACTGTTATCAATGATATCCATCAGATTCTGTTTCATATATCAGCAACATCAACCAATATAAGAATTACGGTAATGCCAAGATAAGAAGAGTGACATGCATGTATAACTTCTTTTCCCAGGGAGCATGCATAAGATCTATCTTTACAATATATCACTCAAAACACTGTGTGAATACAAGGATTTACAAACTTACAGAAAAATAAACGTGTTAAATCCCCGAAATCTTGCAAAGTATGTGCAAAGTTAACACAAATGTAATAAAATACATCATGAATGTCGCTTTGTTTCTGCATCCCCCCCCCCTCTCTCTCTCTCTTTCTCTACTATTCACCCTCTCTCTTCCTCTGTCTCAAATAAGATACAACTATAAATGAATGAGAGCGTAAAAGGAATTGAACAATCAGAAACAAAAACTATCATATAAAAATACATGTAGTTACATGGAAGTGCACACAAAATCCCAAAAATATCTTGTGTGGAACAAAGGTATATGTTTACATTGTCATACCAGTAAAAATAAGACTAAAATCACACAGACACATGGTATCAGAAAATAAATGTAAGAATCAGAGGTGGAAAATTGGACATGAACACACGATAGTATGAATAAAGAAAAAAAAAGTATGCTGAGCCATACAGAGTGGCATTCAAAATGTCTTGGTCGAGATCGAGGCTACTTCTGCCACAATGCTGTTATGACAGAACCGTAAACACTCCCCAAGGCCTAGTCTTCGCTGAACCAGGTATCACAGGAGGGCTGAAATCCTTGGGTGATGTTACCGCTGTGTGTTGGACGATGAGGACAGCCTTCTGACTTGAGGGCGGTAGTTTGTTTGAACTGGTGAGCAAAGGGATATGGTGGTGCACTGTCATTGGTGACTAGGGTTGTAGAAATGAGCTTTGCAACGTTGCGCTTTGCAGTCATCTGAAGAAGTTATCTGAAGAAGTGAAATAAAAAAAATCATTTGAAGATTAGGAATATAAACAGTACTAAATGTTTGTTTTTTAAAAGTGTTAACCTCATTAATGAACGCATTTGACATAAAAAGTGTTCCGTCTATGCAACCCCAATGTAACATTTTCAAAGCAAAAAGATATGTCATAGAATTGCCAATTTACTCCAGGTGTGCCAATTTTGTGGGAATCACTTGTGTAGTGGCCGAGGTCAGCCATCTATCAGGAGGAGCTTGACATAACTCTGTACAGTAGGGTTAGGCTTTTTCAAACATTTTAGTTTGGCAATCTTTCCTTACCCTGTAAAGGTCCCGAAACATTTCATGTATATGCTGGTGTTCCATACTTCTGCCACAATGCTGTTTTGGTGACAGAGCCGTAAACACTCCCCAAGGCCTAGTCTTCGCTGAACCAGGTATCACCGGAGGGCTGAAGTCCTGGGGTGATGTTACCGCTGTGTGTTGGACGATGAGGACAGCCTTCTGACTCGAGGGCGGTAGTTTGTTTCAACTGGTGACCAAAGGGATATGGTGGTGCACTGTCATTGGTGACTAGGGTTGTAGAAATGAGCTTTGCAACGTTGCGCTTAGCAGTCATCTGAAGAAGTTATCTGAAGAAGTGAAATAAAAAAATCATTTGAAGATTAGGAATATAAACAGTACTAAATGTTTCTTTTTAAAAAGTGTTAACATTATTTAATGAAAGCATTTGACTTAAAAAGTATTCTGTCTATGCACCCCCAATGTAACATTTTCAAAGCAAAAAGATATGTCATAGAATTGCCAAATTACTCCAGGTGTAAAGGGCCTCCTTCCTTTTTTTACAAAAAACAGGACGCTAAACATGTTCTATTTTTTTATTTGGCCTTACAATAAATATCAAAATGCAATCTTAACAGCTTCGTGGTAACTATAATATGTAGGGATGACCTCTGTTTCCAATAAATCTAGTCCTTTGCTGTACACATGATCTATCATTGTTCCCTTCTCAGTAGTAGCATTTACAACATGCTGTTTGTAACCTTTATTACACATTAGCTTGTTTACCTGTGAAGAACCTTTAAACAAATCCTCATTAAAATCTCCCATCACAATACACCTAATGCTTCTTTTGTGTAATGCATCTAGCAAATTGTCTAATGATTCACAGAATGATTTGATACTATATGATGGAGGTCGATAAACAACTGAAATCACAACAGAAACTGGTTTGGTGACAAGAATTGCAATAAACTCTAAGTTGTCGACAGATATGTCTAATCTACTTGAATATGTATTCTTGATATACATTCCAACACCTCCATGCGATTGTTCTTTGAGTACATTTAGTAGGAGACCAGCCTGTAGGTCCCGTGACCAATCTCGGGGAACAAAGGTTTGAAAGTGTTTTTGTGTTCCTTGATGAATACCGAACAATTTTGACTTGGGCTGCCCCCTCGAAAATCCCAGGCATTTTCGTGAGGGGTCAACAAAGGTCATACAGGGTAGAAATTCAAATATACTCCAATCGTGTCGATATGCATATCAAACTACTCGTCTGGTCATGAGGATTGAAAAAATGTATAGTTTGCTATACCTCCGACCTTAAATGAGGGCGCTATGGTAAAAAACGTTGAAAGGTCAACACACTTTTGACTGGTGGTCAAATTCACCAACACAGTGAACCTTATCAAATTTCATATCAAATTATTCGTCTGGTCATAAGGATTACAAAAATGTATAGTTTGTTATACCTCTGACCTTAAGTGAGGGCGTTATGGTCAAAAAGGTCAATGCACTTTAGACTGGTGGTCAAATTCACCAACACAATTAACATTGTCCGATTCTAATGATTTTAGTGTCTAATAATATGTTTTCTGACATAACAAATTCAACTTAGCAACTTTTAAAACCAAAAGTGGTTGCCATAACCTTGAAATTTCCCTCAAACCCATGGATAAGAAGTTATATATGTTTGTCACCGAAACGGCAGCCATTTTGAATGTACATGGTCAAGGTAAGTACTTTTAATTTTGAAAGTTGTATAGTTGAATTTGCCGTGTCAGAAAACATATTATAAGACACTAAAATCATTAGAATCGGACAATGTTAACTGTGTTGGTAAATTTGACCACCAGTCTAGAGTGCATTGACCTTTTTTACCATAGCGCCCTAATTTAAGGTCGGAGGTATAACAAACTATACATTTTTGGAATCCTCATGACCAGACGAGTAATTTGGTATGAAATTTGATAAGGTTCACTGTGTTGGTGAATTTGACCACCAGTCAAAATTGTGTTGACCTTTCAACGTTTTTGACCATAGCGCCCTCATTTAAGGTCGGAGGTATAGCAAACTATACATTTTTTGAATCCTCATGACCAGACGAGTAGTTTGATATGCATATCGACACGATTGGAGTATATTTGAATTTCTACCCTGTATGACCTTTGTTGACCCCTCACGAAAATGCCTGGGATTTTCGAGGGGGCAGCCCAAGTCAAAATTGTTCGGTATTCATCAAGGAACACAAAAACACTTTCAAACCTTTGTTCCCCGAGATTGGTCACGGGACCTACAGGCTGGTCTCCTACTAATTTCCAACTCCAGAATTACAGTATGAAAGATGTCGTGGCTGATGATAAAATCGAAAGTTATCTAAAACAACGTCACAGAGATCATTATCATTAATCCATGTTTCGGTCAAGCAAATACAATCTACATTCACAAATTGGCACTGGGATTTGAAATCGATAAAATGCTGTTTTAATCCTTGTACATTTTGCATTACCAAAGAAAAGTTATAATCGTGAATATCTTCAGAAGTTTCATTCTCGATAAACGGCTTCATAATCTCAATGCGTTCTTTAATTTCTGGATTACAATATATACGTTTAGGATCAAAATGTTCTATCACAAGTCCAGATAACGAAGTAACGCGACTAAGCCCAACATATGCCTGTCCAGATTGAAATACATTTTTTAATGATACAACAGCTTTGTCTAATGTCGAACCTTGTACTTTATGAATTGTGCAAGCATAAGCAAGCTTAAGTGGAAATTGTTTTCTCACATATTTCTTACCAATGGATTCTTGAGACATTTCGATTGAATGAATACCAATATCGGCCTTCTCAAAATTAACTTTGATGCAAACTGGATTCAAATTTGTATGATCCGTTATTATTTCTGTTACATTTCCGAAACATCCATTTGTCAGGCCTTTACTAACATCAATGTTTTTGAGCAACATCACTCTAGCATTAACTGCAATCCACAGATAAGGAGGCAACTGGGTTTTCATCTTTGTATAAGGTTTTTCCCGTATTTGATTTCCTTTTTTAACATCTTTGTCCATGTCTTGTGCTTTTACGCATATCACATCTCCACATTTTGTATGCAATAATTTCTTGTTCCAAGCATCTACTTCATTGTTACATGCATAGATATGCAGAGCATTTTCACATTCTTCACCAGTCTCACAGGACTTGAGCATTGCTAGGTCTTCATCACAGAGAATCTCTTCCCCTTGTTTTACACGTAATCTATTTAAGAGAAAAGCGAATTGGGTATCGTCTTTTTGTCTCATAATGTCTTCAAGTTCTACTTTCTTGAAATTAGCATTCCACAATGCACCATTGAGTGTGTCTTTATATAAAGGAGTTCCTAAGACTGGAGGTAACTGATACATGTCTCCCACAGCAATAACTGAAACACCAGCAAAAGCAGTTTGATCGCGTGATTGTTTTATTTGTCGTAGGCGGCCGTGAATGTAAGACATCATCTTTTGATCTACCATTGATACTTCATCTATGATTAAAATTTGCAATTCAGCCAGCTTATTTCGAAGGACACTTATTTTCTCATCACTCAGCGGTTGATACAGTACTTGTGCATTGATTGGAATAGAAAGAATACTATGTATAGTATGGCCATTGATATTGTATGCAGCTACTCCGGTTGGAGCCATTTTCAATACTGAGACATCATCAGGATGTGGCAACATTCGGGCTAGTATACGTGTTGCTTCATAGTAAAGACATTTGATCAAATGACTCTTTCCGGTGCCAGCACCTCCAGTTAGAAACATATGAAACGGTTCGACCGATTTTCCATTTACTCTATCTAAACACCACTGTCGTATTTTGTAAAAAACACTCTGTTGCTTCTCATTCAAAGACCTCATCAAAGAATGTCCATCTTGTTTGGAAATTTTTACTGAACGTAGTTCGATGCTATAGTCATCTTTTTTCGGTTCATTCTTTAAATCAGGGATATCAAGATCTCCATCACAGTCTTCGACATCTACATTTTCTTTGGGATGTTCAAGTCGCTCTACTTCCTTTTCCGGACATAAAAGACCCCATGCATCTTCGTGTGGACCAAATTTGTCAAGCTGCTCCTGTGCATGATCAATTGCATCGGCATTCATTTCAAACTTTTTTCGGTTAGTACAGACAATTGACCAGACTTTCTCCAATTCACGTCCACATATTTTCACAGAACCTGTCTCGTAGAACTCTTCATGTGTTTCAAATGTTGGGGGCTTTAATTGTCCATCTTCAAAATATGGCAGAAAGAGTTGCAAAATGCTCAAATAATATTTTTCTGGTGAGATGATGGGTGAGAATCGGGGATATCTTACAACTGCATCTCCAGTACGAGTACGCTTCTGAATATACCCCAGATCGTTATCTAATTTAAAGACATTTTTACTTCTTGTACTTGGCGTTTGGGATGCAGTTAAGATTCTGTACTGAGAACAAAACATTGCAAGACACATATCACTGAATTCTGCGTTTCTAGGTCGAGCTTTTTATCTGTCAAGCTTGCTAGGCATGCAAACATTCTCATCATCATCATTATCGTTATCTGGTCTGCTTTTTATAACGCTTAATGGTAAACTCATTCTGACAGGGTTGGGTCCAACAGGAATGAATTCCACTTTCCTAGAACATTCTTTCAATCTGAGACTGCAAACACGATAGACGCTTTCTTGAGCAGACACTTCACGATTTTGTATGTACACCTGGCCAAGTTTTTTCATGCTTTCCTTTGCGTTCTCATTTCCCTCTTTCATTTCTGATAGTGTATGACTCAATAGCAATCCGATTTCTCGTTCAGCTTTTGACATGTAGGATACAATATAAGCCACGCATGCAAATACATTTGTTACGAACTGCAAATCCATGTTGGCATTCCAGCTTCTTAGTAGACTTGGATTAAACTGATTTACCCATACATCTTGTATTTCTCTTTTGATGATTATAGTTTGTTGTGATGCTAATTCATTATGTGCATTCTCAAATTGATTTTGTGTAATGCCAAGCTTTTCAAAGAGATGGTTTACACTGTTGTACTCGATTCCATTGGATAATGCATCTTTAACTGACTTCAACAATTTCTCTGCATCATCTTTAGTCTTTTCAGAAGCTTTAACTTGATCATTGTCCTTTCGCTTATTTTGCACTTTCCCACAATCTGTAGCTGGAATCTCTTCAACGGGTGTTACAATGAATGTTTTTCCAGATGGTGGTCTCGGGAAATTAAATCTACATGCCTTCCCTGTTTTTGTGCAAGATTTAGAATGCTTCTTACTGTGTTGTTGGACCTTGCTTACTATTTCATGCAGTTCTCGATCTTCCTTTTCATCCGGTTTCTGGCAAGAAATGTATTTATCTACGAATTGTACGACATCATCATCATTATCGATACCCAACTGTGGAGCATTTTGAACCCAGAACAAGGCATGAATGTGAGGGGAACCACGAGCTTGATACTCTACTCTCCAAAATGAATCAACTATTTTACCAATCGGTGCAGCGGGAGATAAAATAACTTTCTTCATAAAAGTGTGAAATCTTTTATCAAACATTCTGGCAACTGTTACTGGATTTGATCTTAAAAGATTACATTTTTCTGTATAGTCTAATTCACTCGATTCCCTGGTGTCTCCTTTTTGTCTAAGCAATGTATTCATTAATTCTGGCCATCTCATATCGGCAGATGAGAAAGAAGCAAACCATGTGGGCTTTCCAAGCTGTCTTACCATTGCGAGAACATCTTTTTGTGTCTTTTGCCAGAATGGAGGTGTTCCACGAATTTGCTTTAAAAATTTATAGCCCTTGTCTGATTTTAGTATTTTTTTAACTTTCTCTGCATCTTTTAAATCTGAGGCAGTTATTGAAGACGAATCATCTTTTTTGTTTGGACTTTGCCTTAATGCGATAGAAACTTGTGATATAACCTGTTGAATTTCATAAATATATTGTGCATAAAAGATGTAATCTGTATTCTGAGCAAATCTGTTGTCCACGTGCATCAATCGGTTGTGCAGATAACGTCCCAATGTTATTTTTTCATCTCTTCTATCATGGAATGTTGGTTGACCTTTAGGAAATAATACTGGGAAACATTTGGCCTCATTGCTTTCATCTTGTAGAATTGATACAGGGCTTCTTCCTTCACAAGGAGCACAACATATTATGTCTTCAAAATACTGATCTAATATTTCCTGTCCAATATCTACTGGCTGGAGACACGAGTCTAACTGAATACCGCGTAATCGTTCTTCCATATCGTCTTCAGTGTCATTGTCATCTATTTTTTTTGGTACTTTACTGTTGTCTTGCATGTTTTCATTAGCATTTTTGTCTTTGGACAAAATGTAATCAATTTGTTCTTCCATTTCCTTCCAATATTTGGCTAAACGAGCTTTACCACCCATTTCCACTGCTTCTTCCTTTTCATTATCTTTTTCATTTCGTTCAAGTGAGTTTTCCCATTTCTCATTTACTGTAACATCAAAATACCACTTATTATTTGCTTTTAAATACTGTAGAGCATTAAGCAAGTTAGATTTATCTACAAATCTGTACTCATAACAACCTTTGTAAGACAATTTTCTTTTCAGCTTAACACGGATCAATTGATCTTCAGTCTGTGGTCTTGGCAACATATCTGTTTCAAAAGTGTTTGAAGGGACACAAACAACTGGGCCATGAACACCATTTTGACCACCTTTGGGCAAAGCCATTGGCCCGAATTCACAAAGGAGGTTTAGATTTAACCCAGGCTAAATCGCGTCATAATACGTCATAACCCCGAGCTTTAGACCATGGGTCATTATTTTGGTATTCACAAAGGAAGTTTAGATTTAACCCAGGCTAAATCGCGTCATATTACGTCATATTTTTAGCCTGCTCAGAAGGGTGGTTTAAACAGCGGGCTAAATCTAACCCACGGTTTAACCCACGGTTTAACGCGTCATATGACGTCATACCAACGAGCTTTGGCTTTTTAGCGCAGACGACCGTACAAATTTTGTTGACAAATTTGTGGTGAAACAAAGTGAAGAGACCTTCACAAAGTTGCTGTTTTTTCAACTTTGATAGCCTACATTGTAAGTATTTTTAGTTATTCACAACATATTTGTACCATATTCTCAGTTCTGCTACAATGGAAGCCCAATTGAACATGATTTGTATGCGTAAAAAGTGCACGAATAATAATCTTCATCGTAAGTTGCACAGCCTTTGCGAACATTGTCGCAGAACCTAACGCAACTCGGACCCATGCGTGTGTATTTGTGTTGTGTTGTTTATGTAATCCTGCGAGGCAAGGCAATTTCGCAATAACTGCGAATGTGCCAGCTAACAATACGAAATTAGTTATAACATCACACAATTGTGTGATCCGGGAAGAAAAATATGTTAATCATGACATTTGAGACATTCCTGGCCTCGGGGGGGGGGGGGGGGTAGCGACAGTTCCATTTGTATTTAATTCTGCTCTGCTGATGCTGCTTCTCATCTGACTAACGGAGGAGAACGAAAAATGCCGAAATGAAAATGAAAATTCTTCCACGCTGATGGATTTTACTAGTCTAGTCTAGGCCTACTATATACAGAGACCTGGTCTATCCTAGATCTAGACTAGTCTCTAGTACTACTAGGCCTATACTGACACTTGGTACTGTCTACTGACTGAATAAGACCTGAGCTTGAGCTCGAAGTCGGTGGCAGTGAGACACGCAAACACGACGTGGGCCTAGGCTAGATGATAGATCTAACGTTAGGCCTAGGTCTATAGGCCTATCTAGATCTAACGTTAGTCCTCAGTCTCAAGAAATTAGTCAAAGCACGCCAAACCATGGCATGAATTTATCAAAAGTATTTTGTAAATTATTGTAAAAGATGCAGATCTAGATCTAGAGTCTAGATCTAGATCTAGATCTAGATCTAGAGGTCTAGATCTAGTTAGATCTAGATCATAGATCTAGATCTAGTCTAGACCTAGATCTAGTCTAGATCTAGATCTATTCTAGATTTAGAAATTGAAATGGAATAAAATATTTTTCAAAATAGACCTAGGGTCTAGACCTAGATCTAGATTAGTCTAGACTTTTTAGGTCTAGTCTAGATCTAGGTCTAGTCTAGTACTCTAGACTTTCTAGTAGACCTAGGCCGTAGGGTCTACCGGTATAGACCTCAGGCTCTAGATCTAGAATCTAGTCTATGTGGTCTAGAATCTAGACCTTTGTAAAACTACTTTTCATAAATTCATGCCAAGCCCGCGCCGATGGTTTGTTGTGTTGTGTCTTGAGAAGTTGAGTGTTTGTGTGTCTCACCGTCACTGAGTTCGAGCACACGTCTGAGCTGAATGAGAGGTAGGCCTACTAACTTTGTCTTTAGGCCCATCTAGATCTAGATCTAGACTAGACTCTAGTAGGCTACTGACTGTCGAATGTCTCTACACTCAACTCCTACAAATTTATACTAGTCTACATCATGATCATGTCTAGGCCTAACTGTTACTGTTAGAGTCTACATCAATACATTTTTGTACTTGAATTTTGAAGCAAGTTTAAAATCTGTGCAAGCAAATAGCCAATAAATCAATGTGTGTTCTTCCTAATCTACATGTAATCTTAGTCAAATTCAACCTTTCACATGGGACATCTAATGCTAATTTACATGTACATGTATCTAATTTCACATTTTATCAAGCATGAGTAGATTTTTAACAAAACATGACAGGAATTGGCCCCTACGTTCTTATGGAGGTTCAGTGACATCATCTTTCCTAATTGCCCAATAGTATGAATCAATAGCACTCGTTTCTTTAATGCAATCAAAGTATCGTTAATATTTTGTTTAGAGTTTGCAAAAGCTATTCAAATCAGATTGTCTACAATACAAAGAATGCAAAACATGTAATATCATAGGATTTATTTGATAAACAATGAATGATATTTTTTCATTTCATGTTCTAATTTTAATTCACTTTTTTCTATTTTGTTGTGACAGAGACAGCATGGCTGAATATATTCACCATCTCCGCCAGCTTGATCGGAACAGAGAGTTGATAGGCAGACCTCAGAGAGGCCTTCGTGACCCATGAACCCTTGTGAAGTGTATGATGATGAGTCATTTCGGACCAGGTACTGGTTTTCCAAAGTGACAGCGCTCTACCTCATCAACTTGGTGGATGAAGAGCTGAGGAGGACGACAGACAGACACGACCCAATACCTATACAGGTAGTGACAGCACTTCGATTCTATGCTGTTGGTGAGTAATTTACCTTATTTTGTATTTAGTAAATTTCTATTTAATCTGGGCTGAGCGAAAAAGTAAAAGGGTAAAATTGCGGTTACCATGTTTTGCGGGAGGTTTTTTCATAAACCGGGAGATTCTACATCAAAGCAGGAGGAAGGGCGTGGTGGCGTGAGACTCCCTCTAAATGCAAGAGGGTTGACAGCCCTGATTTAATAAAAAATCTATTCTACAATTTTAAGGACTTTAAACATTTCTCAGTTTGAGAATTTGATCTGGCCATTTAACTTGTAAGAAATTGTACCAGTTGATATTTCACTAAAAGGATTTTTTTTTTTTTTACAGGGTCATTCCAAAAGATGCATGGTGATGAGGCACAACTTTCACAGTCTTCTGTATGCAGAGTCATCAAAGATGTGTCAGAAGCGTTTGCAAGAAGAAGGAAACAATTCATGAAGTTCCCAACATCAAGAGAAGAAGTAAAAGCAACACAGCAGCAGTTCTACCAATACTGCAGGTTGCCAGGTTTTCTAGGTGCAATTGATAGGACTCATGTCTACATCAGGAGTCCTGGTGGAGATCAAGCCCTGTATTTTATTAATAGGAAGAACAGATACTCTATTAATGAAATGAAATTTTCCCCTTTTTTTGGAGATGCTCCCCATTTACTTTTAATTCGATTAATTAAATGACCGATATGAAATTGGTTCACCCTTTAGTTTCTCTGAACGAAACGTACACCCATGCAGTACTGTGGTCTGAAACAATTAGACCGTATGATTTGAAATCTAATGGTTGATATAGTTCCTCCCAAAAACATTTTTGCAAAAGGTACCAACCACTTTGAAAGGGAAATCGTCATCATCTTCATCATTATCAACATCGTCACTGAAATCGTTATTTGACTGCTTCATCACCATCGCCACCGACAACATTGCTGTCATCATTATCATCACTGACATCATTATCGACTTCAACATTGTCTTCGTCAATAACCTTGAATACTTGTTTTGATTATCCATATTAAATCGTCAATATTTAAATATAAATTTCTCTTGTTTGATGGTGTGGTTTTTCTCGTGAAATCATTAAGTTAGGAGGTAAACGTTTTACAAGTGAATGACCTACTTTGTTTATCTTGTTTAATTATTAATATACCATTTGCTGTTATCTATTACTTATAATTACCCAGTACACACCATGAATTAAAAAGGATTCGGTATGTTTCGCTAAATCCAAACACCCACACAGAGCGAGCAAAAGATAAAGAGAGAGATGAAGAAAGAAGGAGAAAGGGTATGTGTGAGAGAGAGAGGTGGAGAAAAAAGAGAAAGAAAAGGGGTACGAGAGGGATTTAAAAAAAAAAATGGAGTTCTAACGAAATAAAAAGATATTTGAGAGAGGTGGGGTGGAGAGCTGGTGAAAAAAGAGAGACAACAAACAAAAAACGAGGAAGGTGAAAGAGTGAGAAATAGAGACGAAATTTACAAAAAAGTTCTTTTCTTTTTGTTTAAATCACTATTCCCTTGAGAAATTCAATAAAGCAGAAAAATTAAGAAGAAAAAAAAAATGAACGCCCCCCCTAAGAAAAGAATTAATACAGCAAATAAACAAATTCAGAAAAAATTAATCCCCCCCCCCTAAGAAAACAATTAATGCCCCCTCCCCCCTAAGAAAAATTAAAAACAAAATTACCCCCACCCCCTGTAAAGCCCCACCCCCTAAGAAAACAATTAATGCCCCCTTCCCCCTATGAAAAATTAAGAACAAAATTAACCCCCCCTAAAAAAAAAACCCATCCCCTAAGAAAACAATTAATGTCCCCTCCCCCCCCCCCCCCCCCCGAATTAGGCCTAATAATTCTTTATCACATGTCAAGACTGCCTTGTTTTTGCTGTCCTCCTATTTTATATGACCAGTAAGCCCGGGTTTTTTTCTCAATACATCTATGCATTTTATGCATTAATGCCAGTATTTTCTATCAGATAGTATTTATCGTAACCTTTCAGCCCTTTCTTTCTACATCATCAACACATTCTAGACTAAACGTCATCGATCGCTTTCGCTGCCTCTACGGAGTCTACGCTATATATAACACGAGTCTACTCTTACTTCGGATTGATTAATTGCTAAACTAAAGTGTGACCTACGCTCTAAAATCATCATAACAATCAACGAAAATGTGATCATATAGCTCTAAGATGAACACTACATCATAGAAAATTTTCACTCTGGTATAAGGGTCGTTTACAGAAGTTTTTTGTGGACTCTTCCACGAAAACTGTCGATGTTTAGTGTGTTGTGATGCCCAGCTGATCATAATTATGTCGGACGATTATAGGCCATAAATTAACAACGATAGTGAGGAATTATTGAGGTAATTTATGCGAAATTCTATAATATTTTGAGGACATCTGTCAGAGAACTGTTTTAGTATGTGAATAGTGGTTTAAAGTCTTATCTCAACTTAGAATCGGTCGGTTTTCAGTCTCTACTTGTAGGCGAAGAGTAATAGCCCAAATACAACTGAATCTGAATCTGGACTTAGCAGACGACGGTGAACTAGGTGGAGTAACCAAGTGTACTGAGCGCGCATGCTCAGTTCAGTGCTTCAATTCTGCGCATGCTCAGTTTATTTTTTTGCTCTCTTAGGCATGCTTAAACCGTGGGTTAAACCGTGGGTTAGATTTAGACCATGGGTTATCTAACCCACGCTTTGTGAATACCGAGCGAGGTTTAAACCGTGGGTTAGATTTAGCCTGGGCTAAATAACCCAGGGTTAGATTTAGCCTGGGTTAAATCTAAACCTCCTTTGTGAATTCGGGCCAATAACTTCATAAAAGGGATATGTAGTGCAATCAAATGCTGTTCTAGAGTGTTTAAGTTGGCAAGTTCTTTTGGGACTTGATGTAATTGTAAATTATTTATGTTTGCTTCTCCAGGTACTTTTCCAGACTGCAACTTTCTGTGACAAGTGTGGCATATCCACAGTGATGATCTGGCTGACTGGCGTATTTGACATTCTGATCTACATTCTGAATTGCAAACATGCAAATATTTTTCACTTATACATGTCTGAAGTTTATAATTGGTCTTCATACATTTTATTACTTGGTTCTCAAAGAGAAGTTTAAAGCAAACACAGCAAACAAATTCTGGACCATGAGAAATAATCTTCCTAAACTCCTGTAGTACATTATCAAACTCGGACATTTTGAATGTATTAACTAGAGCTCTTTTAAGATTCTGTTTCATTACTTTTTGTCTATATTTTTCTATTTTTTTATATTTAATATTTAACGTCATCAGTTTCTTTTCCCTTAGTTTGTTATCTTTGTATCTAGTTTGGGACAGGGTTTTCATAGCTGTCTTGTGTTTTTGTTTAAAATGCATATCCTTCTGGTATCTCTTTCTCATAGTAGCCTTTTTTTGTTGTTTAAAAATGCATATCCTTCAAGTATCTCTTTCTCATGCTTATTTTCATAGAAGATTTTTGCTTTTGTTTAAAATTCTTGTTGTTATGGTACATATGCTTTATTTTATTTCGCATGGTGGTTTTTAAATTTTCTTTGAACTGTTCATTTGTCCTATATTTCTGTTTATTTAAATTAAGAGCTTTTTGTTTATACTGTTTATCAGAGTGATATTTGTCTTTCATAGAAGTGACCTGTTTTTTCCTAAAACTTGGATCTTGTTTGTACTTTCTGTTCTGTCTTTGTTTGTTATAACTTGCCTTCTTTGAATTACATGATGAATCATTGTCTTTCTCTTCCCAGTATTTTTGTTTTACTTGATTTTTTTTGGTCATTTTCCAGATTTCATCATGATGATATTTATCCCTCTCCATAATTGATCTCTTCATTTTACGTATGTTTGCATTGAGAACTTGCTTTTTTTTCTTACTACTTCTGTCTATTGCCTTTGTCACAGCTCGTCTTTCTCTCAGTCGCTCTTTCTCGTCATTCCTTTTTTTATTATAAGTTTTTCTTTTACGTTTCTTCCTGGAATTGTCAGCATTTGCAATTTTTTTTGTTTCAGTAGTCTTTCCTTGCTTGATATTTGCACATAAATTTCCACTTGTTTTCTTCACATCATCCTCTTTTCTTTTCCCCAATTTAGTTTTTCGAACTTCATTACCAAGGTCAACATCGACTTTTGCATCATTTTCAATGTTACTCAATTTTCGTTTTTTGCTTAAAGTTGAGTTGGACTTCTGAACTTTGTATGCTAGATTCAATTTATTCGAGTCATTTGCACACTTGGTACAATTTTTTGAGTCTCCTTTTTGTTCATTTACATATTTTGTCTTGATAGAGTCATTTCTTTTCAGAAGACAACTATTATTCAGCTGTGGTTCCCTTAGTTTTGTTAAGGTAATTGTCACACTCTTCAGTTTCAATTCCTGACCGTTATAATGTACATCATGAAAGATTGCTTCGTTTGCTTTTTCAGGGAAGAGAAATACATTTGGGTTATCAATCATCTTTTGTGGGGAAACACTCTCATCCAATATTTGAACTTCATCAAAGCTTTCACAATGTATGGAACATCCAGATCTTCCAGACTGACTTTCACTGTGCGTATTTGACGAAGGAATTGGATTACAAACAAAATCCTGTAACTGTGGATAGCCTTTCAAGGTTTCATTCTTACCGGAAGTTGCTTTAGCACATACACTAGTTACTTCATATTCGGTGTGCAGGGGGCATCCCATTGATTTTGCTAACCTCATGCAATGCTTGTACACACCTTGCCAGCTTTGAGTACGAAGTACAACACTGTGTCCGTTACAACTCAGGAAACCTCGACTGCTTCTGGAATGTGAATCAAATATAAAGAAACCATCTTGACCAGATAATACAATGAAAGTACTTCTAGCAAATGTCACAAAACATGCATCAGAATCAGTACAGAGTTCTTTTTCGAGTGCTTGCTTCAATGTCATCGAAAGAGACTGGGCCAACATCAATTCATCTCCATCTAACAATCCAGTGACTGGTTCACGGCATACTATGTTAAACAATTCATTGTACGCATCCAAATATTCAAATAGATCAGATATCAATAAGTATTGGTTGTCGAGTGAAGTGGATCGCCGTATGTAACAGTATAATTCATTACCGTTATTCAAAATCCTGTCTAGATCTGTACTTTTCCAATCATTGGCATTTTTTACCTTGCTATACAACAGTGCAGAAAGTGAATTGGTAACACACTGCTTTCCACTTAAGTCACCAAATCTTGTATCACCTTGATTGAATGTCCCTTGGGCAACAAGCGTTATTTGTGTATCGACTCTCGTGCATTTGTCTTTGTGATCACTTTTAAGGGTTTCATTCTTGGTGTTACGTTCGTTGTGAACGACTGATTCAGACTGATTACTTGCACACTGTTCATATGTCATGTCCAAAAGATTTGCAGTACCTTTCCTCTCATCGTGATTTATCGTACCAGTTTCCAACGTGAGCCTACGTTTTTTTCCCTTTGGATCAACATGGTTTTGAAATGTTTCAGGAGACTTATCCACTACTTCATCAATTTCTTCCTCTATCTGACACTTGGATCTACACTTCTTGAACACATGCTTTACTTTAACATCAGCCTGAATTGATGGACATGGCAAAGTTCTCTTTGACGTTCTATCTTCTTTAGTTGTTCTTGTCTGTTCTAATGAATTGAAATTGACAAAATCTACAGATTCAACAACATTAAAATGAACTTTTCCTGTGTACAGTATATAAATTCCCTTATCAGATGTTACAATATTTATTCTTCCAGGTTTCTTTGCAGAGAACAATTGCCAACATTGTACTTGGTCATTGTATGAATAAATATCAGTATCGATTAAATTTGCTAAAGCGCTAATTTCAGTGTCTGTAGCCCACGTTCCGTCTTCCTTTATTCTACGTTTCAAAACATATTCTCTGACTGTTCTATATTCTTGCCTCAATGTATTACTAAACATGTCCTTGGTTTGCAATAAATGTTTCACAGTGGCATTTCTTAAAATTGCATGATTACGCTCAGTTCCAGAAATTACATAGGAAATTGCACGAAAGAAACAATTGCCATCACCAGTAATTTGTTTACTCTGTAAAGGAACTCCAATACAGCTATTTCTATCTAACCTTGAATCACAGCCTTTGCCTATATATCTGATATTCAGTTTTGAACAAATGTTCTGTTTGTTATTATTCTGGAGGGGTACAAATTTGAAATCTTTATCTGGTCTATCACGTAATCCAAGATCTGCTACAAATTCAACTTCTGTTTCTGTTTCATCAGTACATGTGTACATATTAGCATCTATTGCCTTTTCAATGTCTTCATCTTTGATATTTGAATCTGAAGAAGATTCTAAAGGATTCCTTGAATGAGCATGATCATTAAATGACATATCAGCATTGTCTGTACCATCTTTTACTGTATCAAAGCTTCTATTCTTCAGGTCATTGTCAAACACTGCATCTTCTTCATCTGAAACATATGAAATATCATTTTTCATCATATCATCATTTTCCAATACCGATTCACAGACATTGTCTACTGGTTCATTTCTGGGCATATCTTTTGGTCTATCACAAACATTCAAAGGCATATTGCGTTCTGGTAAAACACTTCTATCGAATAAATCACATCCAGGACTTGTGTCTGTATCACTATCAGATTCTATACAATTTCTTGCACACGAACGTTTCACTGGTATATGAACATCACTGCCACTATCATCGTCCATTTCAATTTCCCTATTTTCATCAAAATTTGATTTCAACAGATTATTCTTTGAATCGTCCTGCAGAACTCCATCTGAACCTTTGTTGTCTTTGATATTGCAAATATGCTGGTCTGAGTGTTCATCATTTTTACATGTATTTGGATCAAGTCCTTGGTCACTTGCATTCATAGATTTCTTTGTATCCAGCTTCTCATTCTTTACTGCTAATTCTATTCCTTCATCTCTGTCAAATCTAATCTCTGATTTATCAGAAGAGTGATTTCCATCAGTGCCTTTTTTCCCGGCTTTGGAAGACTGACCTTTCTTGTTACTTGCTCGACCTTTCTTGTTCTTTGCTTCTTTTCTCTTGCCACCAGCATGAACTCTGTACATTCGGAAATCCTTGATCTGTTCAAAAAGATTACGAGTGCAGGCATGAATATCAACACATGAATCTGTTCTTGATCGAGATGGCAAATAACCTGCTACGTCAGCACAAGATCGTGTCTGCATCGTTTCAATTTGCACACAGGTCTCACTGTACAATTTCATTGAATGTGGGGATTGCACACTGTATGCATATATAGCCAAAAGAGTTTCTACATAAGACTGCAAACTGACATCTTCTCTTTTCACATTCTTGTTTTCCTTACATACATTTTTCTTTCGGTTTCCATTTTTTTTCTCATGACTTTCATAGAATGTCTTCATTGCTTTGCCAATGTAAGTCACACCTGGTTCCAAGACTACACCATTCACTGATCTTCTCTTGCTTTTCCGGTCTGTTCGATGATCAACTGTTGATTTGGAATACAATTTTTTGTCTTTTATTTTCTCCATCCATTTTGTCTTTCTTGATTTTACAGTAACCCAGTCATCAGCATCATCTTTAAATTCTTCATTTCTCAATTGTTCATAATCTGATTGAGATGGATTTTCTCTGTCTACATGATCAGGTTTACATCTGTCACAGTCACTCATTTTCATGTCATCAATACATCGTTTTTCAGGCAACATACTGGGTTTCTTCCCCTTCTTTGCATACCTCTTCTTTGATCTGGTATATTTCCTTCTGTCGTTCTTAGATGATTGGGGCAAGTCAGTACTGCAACAGTATTCATCACGTTCTTCATCAAGGACTTTGTATCTATTGAAATGAGAAGGGATGCATACTTTATCAAACATGCGATGAGCAATGTTGTTATTGCCACAAAATGGACAAATCCAGATCAATGTCAGGTCACTCAGTCTGTCTTCACAAGGGAATCCCATACATGTCACATGAAAATGCTTACTACAACAGTCACATCTTGCATCACTTTCATTTTCTTTGATTTCATTGTTACAGATACAGCATTCATTAAGCTCTGGGTTGGTCACCAATGCACAACTAGTCAGTATATTCATGATTTCATCAAGTGTTTTCTTAAATTCAATTGTATCCATCATGGTAAATTTTGCTTATATACTTGCAACAGTTCTGGTTAATAATTACAAGTCTACAATTAACGGTTCTGTAACTTTGATATATAATGTTCTGTATATATTCCTTACTCCAATAGTCTTTTATTTAAAGATTCCTATTGTGAATTATGAAAAACTAATCCTTACTGATATTAAACTCTATGGTATTTCAATAGCCTAGCTTTATATACACTAGCTCGTACTGTGTTAAGGAGCTATAATGTTTTTGTCTCAAGATGGCGTTTTTTATTAAAATTATGAGTAGGTCATTAATAGCCTAAATGTATTGTAGGCCTATATAAGTTCCCAAATTGCTAATTTCTTTGTTCCTCTCTCTGCAAACAGGTTCACTTTATATCCTGACCAAAATATCTTTCTTATTCTCTTTCAAATCAATCAACCTCACTTATATTTCTAAAACTATATATATATCCTGACCCAATCTTCTTTCTAACTCTCTCTGCAATCAAGCTTACTTTTATTTTTAAAATTCTGAACACTATATATCGAAGGATTTCTTTCCTTTTCTCTTTACAATCAACCACGCTCACTTTTCTAGGACTCTATATATTGACACAAATTTTTTGTGATTATGGTCTTATCAAGTTCTAGGAATTAGAATTAAATTGCTTTCTCGCTATGGTTCTTCTTTTTATTTCAGTTTGCTTTTAATTCCTTTTAGAAACTGCCAATAATTTCTTTCTAATTTACAGTAATTATGTCTTCTAAAATGGCAATACAGTCTTTCAAACTTGCAATATTGCCTTCTTCACACTATTTTGTTCAATCTTCTTTATTCTTTGCTGTGTATACGCTCTTGTTACTTTCCCAAGATTACTAATACTACTGTTTTGAATTCTAATAGAGGTCTTATCAAGTTCTAGGAATTAGAATTAGATTGCTTTTTCTCTATTGTTCTTCTTTTTATTTCACTTTGCTTTTAATTCCTTCTGGAAACTGCCAAGAATTTTTTTCTAATTGACAGCAATTTTGTCTTCTAAAATCGTAATACAGTCCTTAAAACTTCCAATATTATCTTCAACGACTACTTTCCAATCTACTTTACTCTTTAAAATGTATACCTCTTTTTTTCTTTCCCAAGATTTACAATATTACTGCTTTCAACTGTAATTATGGTCTTATCAAGTTCCAGGAATTAGAATTAGATTCCTGTTCCTCTATTATTCTTCTTTTATTATTTCAGTTTACTTTTAATTCCTTCTAGAAACTGCTAATAATTTCTTTGTAATTGACAATAATTATGTCTTCTAAAATGGCAATACAGTCCTTCAAACTTCCAATATTTATCTTGAATGACTACTTTTCCAATCTACTTTACTCTTTAAAATGTATACCTCTTTTTTTCTTTCCCCAAGATTTACAATATTACTGCTTTCAACTGTAAGTATGGTCTTATCAAGTTCCAGGAATTAGAGTTAGATTCCTTTGCCTCTATTGTTCTTCTTTTTATTTCAGTTTACTTTTAATTCCTTCTAGAAACTGCCAATAATTTCTTTATAATTGACAATAATTATGTCTTCTAAAAATGGCAATACAATCTTTAGAAATATTCTGTTCCAGTTTTGATTCGATTCAAGTTTCATTCAGTATGTTTCAGATTCAAGGTTCAAGATAGTTCAAGTTCAAGTGCTAGTTCAAATACAAGTTCAAGTGCAAGTTCTTTGGAGAGTTCAAGATAGTTAAAAATAGTTCAAGATAGTTCAAGATAGTTCAAGATAGTTCAAGTGCAAGTTCAAGTTCAAGTGCTAGTTCAAGTGCAAGTTCAAGTGCTAGTTCAAATACAAGTTCAAGTGCAAGTTCTTTGGAGAGTTCTTTGGAGAGTAAACCCTCGCGATGTAAACAGAATAGCAACACTCATTAACTGTCCAACAGTAAGAGCTCTATTCACCTCTGCCTCCTTGCTTCTGTCTCAGTAACTGTCCAACAGTAACAGCTCTATTCACCTCTTCCTCCTTGCTTGTCTCTCAATAACTGTCCAACAGTAACAACTCTATTTACCTCTGCCTCCTTGCTTCTCTCTAAATAACTGTCCAAGAGTAAGAGCTCTATTCACCTCTGCCTCCTTGCTTCTCTCTCAGTAAATGTTCAACAATAAGAGCTCTATTCACCTCTTCCTCCCTGCTTCCCTCTCACTAACTGTCCAACAGTAAGAGCTGAATTTACCTCTGCCTCCTTGCTTCTCTCTCAGTAACTGTCCAACAGTAAGAGTAGATCTATCAAATCTGAAATGGAAAGATTCAAACACCACATTACATCCCAAACTGCTACTTAGACCGAAATCAATAACTTTTGTAAGAACCAACAGTTCAGAAATAATGTTAATATCAATATTTTGTTTAGGTACAGTACTTCAATGCATTTTCATTTTAAGCTCTTTTCCTGTTTCAAATTGTACCATTTCTGTAATGACATTATCATGGGTGGTGGCACAACATAAATTTTTAACTGACCAATGTCTAAACCTCATCTACTTTGTGGATGACTTTTCAGTTTAAACAAGGCATTAGCGATGTTGTGTCTCGCCCACTTGTGAAAATAACTAGAATATCGCAATGTCCATTGCCATCTATAAGAATTGTAGGGCCTATCGCAAGCTGATTTTGAAATATCTGCCATAGAATGCAACATCCCATAAACTTTGAGAAGGGGTATTACATGATATGCTACTGCCTTTCACCTGCTTCCACTGCATCTACTCCCTCCCCCTTTGATACGAGTAAAATTATTGCATTGATATTTTACATGTGTGAAGGTAAAATGTGTTTGTGTTTGTAGTGTAGCTGAGGTTGCAGGTAAACTTTAACGCTTGACCTCAAATGACTTTTGACCTCTCTATGTGCCAATGTTCAACCTGTGACTCCCCCCCCCCCCCCTCCACCCCACACTCCAGCAAAACATAGAGAGTCATAGACAGAAATAACCGTCTGGTGTGGGTCATTTCTTTAATCAAACTGACATTTGTTGATTAAAAGCACTAGAAATAAAAAAAAAAAAAAAAAAAAAACAATTGCATTTTATAAAAAACCAATATGAATATATTACAAAAATAAATACAAATAGTGAGCCCTCATTCAAGACCAGTTTTGGTCATGCGATTGCATTGCGAAAAAAACGTGAAATCGATCACAAAAGGTTTATCATCTAGCATATACGGTAAGTATTGGTGTGTACTGAAAGGTTCTGGATCATCAAAATGATGAGAAATTTGACCCAGTCATGGTAAAGTTACAAGCACTGTACACAGAAAGATGTATATGGGACTATGCGACACATGCGCGATATCTATCCACTCCGGATAGATATAATAATTTACCAAATATATCAATTAGTATCAAAATTTGTATCATCAGGTATTAGTCAAAACATATTCTTTCACATGATTGTTAAAAAAAGGTACCATTTCATTTTTTGAGAGGGGGGCTTTTCCAAAACTGGTCTATACCTTTACTGACATAATTAAAAGTAACTTGGTAGTGTCAAAAAGTTATATAGAAAATTTCTTAAAGCCATAGCTTTCGTATTCTGCATTCAATTGTTCCCAATTATGCGGATCTGTTTCATTCCATCATAGCTTTAATTTAAAAACTACTTGACTTCAGCCTTTCTAAGCATATCAACTTACTTTCTGCAACTCTCTCTTCAACTCTCAGTAACCTAAAATACAAACAAAACAAAACAAAAAATTACATTTAATAAAATACCAATATCAATATATTACAATAAATACAAATAATGAGCCCTCATTCATAATGCTTAAATGACATAAATAAAACAAGTCAACGCAAAGCATAGCATCCCCTCGCAGGGTACATACTGGGAAATCAAACTAAGGCCATGTTTTGATGCCATGTACTTTCATATCAAATTTGATTAAAATCCGTCAAACATTACTAAAGTTATCGATATCAGAAACCAGATTCGCATATTTAATGAGCTATGACCTTTGACCTACATACTCCGAAATTGAACTTATGCTGTGTTTTTATACCATGTACCTTCATATCGAATTTCATGAAAATCCATCAAATAATACTAAAGTTATCAAACAGAAACCAGATTCACATATTTAATGAGCTATGACCTTTGACCTACATACTGGGAAATCAAACTTAGGCCGTGTTTTGATGCCATGTACCTTCATATCAAATTTCATTAAAATCCGTCAAACATTACTCTAAAGTTATTGATTTTAAACCAGATTTGTACTTAAGGCACACAGAAGGAAGGGCTTCGACAGCGAGCAGCATAATACAGCTCGAAATCGCTGAATATGCACGACTCGAACAAACAGAGCCCTTCTCAACCTCGTGCATATTCAGCGATTTCGAGCGATCGGCGCTCGATAGCCTGAATATTCATATTTTCTTTGCCACTGCCGCGCATGCGTACCTTCTCATCGCTATTTTGAATCAACGCTGCGACATGGAAGAATCGTTGGTGTAGTACCCCAAATTAACCTTTTTTTCCCATCGAAGACTTCTTCAAATTATACATTCAAGTGATTGGAGTTGAGCCCTGAGGAGTCGTGCACCCTATGATGTAAAAATTGTAAGTACTCCCTTTGCAGATTTAACGATAATATCACCCAATCGGCTGTTTTACTAGCCCCCAAGAGAAACCAAGGAAACCACCCGAAGCTCCGACGCCTGCGGCGCCGGTGTTGGAGCTTCCCGGAGTTAACAGGGGTCTAGATCCCCTCCTTCTTTGACTTTGGCGAGGGGATAAATATTATCCCATGACTTTTACAAGCCGATCGCCTGTCAGCTGTGACCTGTCTAATTATCAACTATCAAGATATTCATGATTGGAATTAGAAATTAATAGATCTAGACTAGATCTAGATCTATGATCTAGGCCTATAGTCAGATATAGTAGATCTATCTAACTTTAGATCTAGTAGTAGTAGGCCTAGATCCCTACCGACTTATGGTTTTTAATTTATAACACTGACTTAGATCTAGATCTAGAAACAGGTCTAGACCTAGATCTAGACTAGGTCTACAGTCTACAGTCTATTGGGAGAAATGAGTATGGTAAAACCGGTCACTCAAAGTCAGTTTGAAACACTTCCTTTTCGTTTTTCGTAGGGCTTCAAAATTCAATCACAATCACATGCACTCACTGAGGCTGAGCTGATATGATAACACGCAGACCCTATATAGGCTACATGTAGGTCTAGATCTATAAAGATGTATCGCATCTCAGACTTGATTTGTAAAACTGCAAACATTATTATAAACAAAGTCAATGCCTTTAAAAGTTTAAATACACTCACACACTTATGCGATAACGCAAAATCTCTGAATACAATAGCAACAACCGAATTCTTACCAAAACTAAGCTAGCAATCAGCACAACAACACAACTAGTCTAAACAGCTAGCAGTACTCAGCAACTCATATGACCATGATCATGAGTGTGCATGCAATTCGAATCGGCCAAAATCTTGGTCAGATTAAATTCGCCCTACAGACAATTCGCCCAGTATATTTCTCGCGCATATAATTTCTCACGAAATGCATGATTTTGCGTGTTATAAGGGAAAAGGAATGTCAAAACAATGGATATCTGATACCTTGTCGTTTAGGCCATGTAAAAAGAATATACATGTTTAGCGTCCACGCCCGCTTCCTTTTTGGGGGCCGCCTCCTATAATTTTTTTTGATTTTTTTGATTTTTTTGATTTTTTTTTTTTTTTTTTTTTTTTATTTTGTTATAGAAAAAAAACATAAAATCTCGGCGGCCATCTTGAAAAGTAGCCCGACTGACATGGAAAATGTACCGAGCGGCAATTTTGAGCGGCCATTTTGAAAGAAAAAAAAAAGAAAAAGGGCCTCCTCCTTCCTATTTTTCCAAAAAACAGGACGCTAAACATGTTTTTTTTTTTTTTTTTGGCCTTATTCTATTGCTCCTAATTTTCTCTAGCTCTTTCCGTTGCCTAGCTTTGGCTAGCTTTGTATTCTTATTTCACGTACGTATACCTACCACCATTTCCTTATCCTCCCGCTATATCCTCTCTCCTTCCAAGACATGCGCATTTCTGATTCCTCGATCTTTCATCCCTCTGTCCAGCTCATGTATTTTTACATGACTATAACGGACCGTCTTCCTCTTTCCTTCTCTTTATTTATGTCTCACCATTTTTCATTTTGATGACGTCATCATAGTGAAAATTTCGATTAAATGCGACATGTCAGAATTTTCGTAATTTGCGTGTCATGCCTATCGAAGGTGACTTTTTCTGAAATCTGGATTCTACATTCCTGTCTTTTGCGAGCAATATCGCCATTATTTCTGCTTGGTTTTTGTTGATTTTTGAGTATGTTGTAGCTGAGACTATTTTTATCTAAATGTCCCCTCATTTTTTCAATCAGATGTCAGGATCGATCACGCTCATGATCATCGTTATCATAATGATGATGATGATCATCATCATGGTCTGAAATCTGGATTCTACATTCCTGTCTTTGGCGAGCAATATCGCCATTATTTCTGCTTGGTTTTTGTTGATTTTTGAGTATATGTTGTAGCTGAGACTATATGTTATCTAAATGTCCCCTCATTTTTTCAATCAGATGTCAGAATCACGCTCATGAATGATCATCATCGATCACTATCATCATGATTATCATCAATATCATCATGATCATCATCATCATATGGTCTGACGATGATCATCATCAAAATCATCAGGATCATGATCATGATCATCAACATCATCATCATCATCATTAACATTATCATTATAATCATCATCATCATCATCACCATTACTATCAAGATCATCATCTTCATCATCATTATGATCATCATTGTTTACATGTACATGTCAATATAATTTCTCTATATGGGAGATGACTTTTTCTCAAATCTGGATTCTACATTCCGTTCTTTTGCGAGCAATATCGCTGTTATTTCCACTTGGTTTTTGTTGATTTTTAAGTATGTTGTAGCTGAAACTATATGCTATCTAAATGTCTCCCTCATTTTTTCAGTCAGATGTCAGCATGATCATGATCATCATCAATATATCATCATCATAATCACGGGCGTCTCCAACAGTTTTTCTTCTTCCCTTTCTTTTTCTTTTTGACCTTTCACTGTACCATCTCCTTTGAATATTAACACGTACAATCGCAAATAATGTAATAAACAACCATATTTATTTTATTATTACCCTATTATCACTTGATCCATTACTTTTTGCGTGTAATCCTTATGGGAGATGACTTTTTCTCAAATCTGGATTCTACATTCTTGTCTTTTGCAAGCAATATCGCCATTACTTCGGCTTGATTTTTGTTGATTTTTTAGTATGTTGTAGCTGAGACTTATACTATCTAAATGTTCTCTCATTTTTTTCAGTCTGATGTCATCATGGTCTGTTGATAATCATAACATCATCATGATCATCATCATCATCATCATCGTCATCACCATTACTATCAAGATCATCATCATCATGATCATCATGATGATCATCATTGTTTACATGTTATTAACTTGAAGGCAGACCACCTTATTCGTCTTCGTGACGAATTAAATTCTAGTTTTGTAGCTGTTATTGTATGTCCACATTCATGGGTGTCGATCCCGGGGGGGATGGGGGGGATATATCCCCCCCAATATTTCAGGTGGGGGGATGGCCTGTACAATCATCCCCCCCCCCAATAATTCACCATCAAAAAAAAAATGAAGAGAAAAATGAATGATGAGAGCCCGATGAGAGTAGTTAATGGTTATTACTCGCAAGATGACCATCAATATACACATTTTGCTATCTCATTTTCATAATACATACATATATACGAAGTAAATAAGACAACCGTATATGAGACAAGAATAAATTGAATTCTCGCTCATACGGCTTCATCAGGAATTGATGAATTTATTCAATTTGTTCAATCAACAACATCATAGAAATGCAGTGCGCCAAATGCAAAGACGCAGCGTCAAAAAGCAACGAGCTAAATGGTAAGCGCGAGGCCCAAAAGTAGCAATCTGCAATGCACATCAGACAATCCTGGAAAGTGTAAACATAGATGAACTCTGCGACGATTTCGTTATGAGATCGGAGACAAGGAGAAAGATTTTCGGACATTAGTATGACTTATAAAATAGTTCACTAGTTGTTATGTTGTTTCCGTTCACCCTTTTTAAAATTCATGTCATTGTATCTTTATTTTTATTTTTTTCACTCATTTTATTTCCTGACATTTCCTAAAACATTTTTCATTTTTGGAGTAAGATTATTATGTCACAACTTATTTGTGACATTTTCAGTGGGGAAACTTAATTCAGACAAGGATTAATATAGAGAACAGTACAACGAATCGTCTTCTTTCTCTAATAAGTTAGTGAAGAGGGGAAAGCTGCTAGGGGGGGAACTGAATTCAGACCTGGATTAAGAGTAATAATCTAATGAAACGTTAGAGCTTCCGCGCTACGCGCGGGGGAAGGGGAACTTGATTCAAACATTAAGGATTAAGAGTCAAGAATGGTACATCGAATCGTCTTCTTTCTTCAATAATCTAATGAAACGTCAGAGCTTCCGCGCTACGCGCGGAGGAAGGGGAACTTGATTCAGACAAGGATCAATATAGAGAACAGTACAACGAATCGTCTTCTTTCTCTAATAATTCGGGGGAACTGAATTCAGACCTGGATTAAGAGTAATAATCAAATGAAACGTCAAAGTACACGATACAACATATTATCGTCTTCTTTTACTAATAATTTAATGAAACGTGAAAGCTTCCGCGCTACGCGCGGAATGGGCGAAAATGAATACAGACAAGGATTAAGAGTAATAATTTATTGAAACGTTAAAGATTCCGCGTTTCGCGCGGAAGGGGGGGGGTAACTGAATTCATGAAGGACACGGTACAACAAATCGCTTTCATTCTCTAATAATGTAATAAAATGTGAAAGCTTCCGCGCTTCGCGCAGGAATGGGCGAAAAGGAATTAAGACAAGGATTAAGAGTAGAGAATGATACATAGAATCGTCTTCTTTCTTTAATAATCTAATGAAACGTCAGAGCTTCCGCGCTACGCGCGGAGGAAGGGAACTTGATTCAAACAAGAATTAAGAGTTGAGAATGGTACATCGAATCGTCTTCTTTCTTTAATAATATAATGAAACGTCAGAGCTTCCGCGCTACGCGCGGAGGAACTTAGGGTGCAACTTGCCACATGCTTCTACCTCTTGGTTGCTTTTATTCATTGCCGAAAATATTTTGGCACCTATCATCCCCCCCAACCACGGATACAAATCGACACCCTTGTCCACATTGTACAATAACGACTAAATCATTCGTACCCTTACCAAGTTTTAAAATTTATAAGTATGTGATTACATGGTTTGTCCCCATTTATGATTCTTGATAATGTGACATATTAATGCTTTTAGGCCCTAATTCAACCAGTTAACCTTGCATTCTTGAGTTACAAAAAAGAACCCAGAAATATCAAATTTACCAGGGGTATGAATAATTAAGTTGTTCACTGTATACGACATGGACCGTAATGTTACTAATCAACTTGATACTTAGGCCTTAAGCATGTGAAGTGAACCTTCAATACAGCTCATAATTTGCACGTCAGCTAACGTGTGAGAATGCTTACTATTAGACCAGCAAGGACTTTGAAACAGATCATTGATATTTACTCAATTTCAATCTAGGATCCTAAGGGTCGAATACATGAAGTTTGCCTTTAATTAGATGAGTACGTCTTGTCACCTGTGGTACATATTTATCAGTGGAAACTCCATAGAACATGTGCGAAAAGGGAGTGTGAATCTCTCAGATTGGATTGTTACAGTTTTACAAACCTTAGCTTATTCTTATTTTGGAGGACGTAAAATATACCCTGAGCTAAGCAGCCAATCATTTTCTCACTATTCTAACTAACTAACAGTTTCTCTCTCTCTCTCTCTCCCTCTCTCTCTTTCTCTCTCTCTCTCTCTCCCTCTCTTTCTGTCTATCCCTATGCTGAAATGAGAATTACTTCTCGCCTAAATTCGATATCTCCACGAAGTCAAATTTGTAACTTTGTCCTACCCTCCTTTGAGGTAATGTTTTGACTTTGAAGACAGAGGTTCGCTTTATACAGCCATATTTTAGCCAGCTCAGTCAAAGTCAAGTTCTGACTTTGAGGCCAGTGTTTGACTCTGTACTGTACTGTATTGTACTTCAGCCAGTCCCGCGTGCTGAAAGTGTGATTGACCATGATCGTGACTTTGAGAAGCTGCCGCGCAATTTCGAGTGGCTAGCTGGCTTTAAGATAAGGAAAATATTTTCAGGGGCCCGGGCCTAACTCCCATTTTGTGTAATTCCCATTAAGTCTACTTGCTATATAGTATTATAATCATTTAATCATAAATAATAATAATCATTAAATGATTAGTGGACCTAATGCATCATGT